GCATCATCCTCATCGCAATCGTCATGGCCATCGCCGTCATCACCGTCGTCATCATCGCCACCATCATCATCATCATCATCATCATCATCATCGTCATCATCATCGTCATCATCGCAACTTCCGCAGTCGTCACCATCATCGTAGTCACTAGCACCATCATCATCATTATTACTATCATCGGCCTCGTCATCGTTAGTATCATCATCACCATCAGCATCGTGATCAGATTGATCATCACCATCAGCATCATCATCATCATAGTCATACTTGTCACAACCACAATCATCGCAATCGTCATGGCCATCGTCATCAACATCACCAGGATACACATAAGCATCATCAGCATCATTGGCATCGCCATCATAATCATCATCATCATATTCTCGATTATCAGCATCAGTATCGTAATTATCACCATCGATCGTCACTATTACCATCGTCATCGCAATCGCCATTTTCGTAATTATCATCGTCGTCGTCAACATACGCATCATAAAAATCATCACCGACACCGTCATCGTCATCACTACCATCAACACCAAAATCATCAATATCATCACAGAACTCTGACACGCCATCATCGTTTATTACCATCAGCATCGTGATCGTCGTCATCACCGTCGTCGTCGTTGGCATCGTCATCATCATTACCATGATCATCATCATCATAATCATCATCATCATCAGCATCAGCATCACCATCATCAGTTCCATCATCACGATTATCATGAACATCACCATATTCATCATGATCATCATCGACAGCAGCGTCATCATCATCGTCATCATCATCATCTTCATAGTCATGATCGGCATCGCTATCGTCGTCATCATTAGCCGCATCGCCATCATCGTCATCATCGTCAACACGTTGACACAGAACACGCATCATCAATGTCATCGTCGTCATCGTCATATTCATCATTATCATGACCATCATCATCGTCATCATCACAATAACCATCATCATCATCATCATCATCATCATCATCATCATTGGCAGCATCGCCATCATCGCCAGCATCTCCCATCACCATCATCGTCGTCATCGCGGTCGTCAACATCATCATCATCATCATCATCCTGCTCACCAACATTATCATCGGCATCGTGATCGTTATCGTCATCGTCGTCAAAATATGCATCATCACCAGCACCACCAGCACCACCATCATATTAATCACAATCACCATTACTATCACCACCACCACAATCAGCATAATCCGAAGCATCCTCATCCGCATCTTCAGCATGCTGACAAGCATCATCACCATCGTCATCACAACCACCAGTCTCATCATCATCATCGTCATCATCGTCATCATCATCGCCACAGTCGTTTGGTCATCGTCGTCACCATCATCATGATAAACATCATCATCATCATCACCATCAGCATCCCCATCATCAGCATCATCATCACCACCACAACCATAATCATCATCAACATCACCATAATGACCACCAGCGTCACCAACATCATCGTCATCGTACGTACCATCATCAATCGTTACATCACCATAGCAATCGTAATCGCCACCTCCGTAATGATCATCGTCGTCGTCAGCATACGCATCATCACAGTCATTACCATCATCGCCATCGTTATCATTACCATCGTCACCATCATCGCTATCAGCATCATCGTATCATCAGCATCAGCGTCGTCATCATCATCATGATCATCATCAGTTTCATGATCACGATTGTCATGAGTACCATCATCATCACCATCTTCATCATCAGCATCGTCATAATCATCGTCCGCATCATCGTCGTCATTATCATGATCGTCATGGCTATCATAGTGAGCATTGTCATCATCGACACCATCGCCATCATCGTCCACACCCTCAACCATAACACTCGTCATCAACATCATCGTCGTGATCGTCATCATCATCACCATTAGCATCATCATCATTATCATCGCCACCATATCCCATCATCTTCATCACCGGCGTCGTTGTCGCCGCGGTGGTCAACATCATGATCATCACCATCACCACCAACATCATCATCATCATCACCATCATCCTCATCGCCATCATCATCAATATCATTATCGCCCTCGTACCCGTTATCGCCATCATCATCATCATCATCATCATCATCATCATCAACAGTCCCACCACCACCACCATCGCCAGCATAGCCATCACAAACATCATCACCATCATCATCACCACAACCATTATAATCTTCCTTATCCTTACCCGCATCCTCGACAGGTAGACAAACACCATCAAAACCATAATCCTTGCCATCACCATCATCATCACCATCGACACCGTCATCAGCCAAGCCACCATCACTCTCATCCGTCTCATTCCGTCTACCTTTTCCACCTCCTGCTACCAATCCTTCCCCCAATGACCCTCCTGTTCCACCTCCTCCACGCGTCCGAAGGCCGCCGCATACTTCCGACACTGTTCGAACACGCACCAATGAAAACCTCCTCCTTCTCCTCCTCTTGTTCTGCCTCCCTCTCCTCCCCATCCGCTGCCTGGGAGCTAGCGCTAGACTCTAGTCCACGTCCGGATCAAATCCTCCCCTTCCTCTTCACCCTCCTCCTTCTCGTCCTCTTCCATCCCTCTTCCGTGTCACCCCTGTCGCACCACCAGACGAGCACGTAGGCTGGGTCGGGCGCTTCGCGTGAGACGCCCTTACGATCGGCAACCCTGGAAATTACCCCGACGGAAGGACCCCGCATGAGCATGTGTTTGGCTTGCCCTTAGCCCCTCCCTCATCGCCCTGGCGGACACCCTCCTCCCGCCCTCTGCTCTGCCCTCTCCTCCTCTTCCTCCTCCTCTTTCTATTTCTCCTACTCCTCTTTCTATTTCTGCTCCTCCACCTCCTTCTCCTCCTCCTCCTCCTCCGCCTCCTCCTCCGCCTCCTCCTCCTCCTCCTCCCCATCGTCGTCCTCCTCCTCCTCCTCCTCCTCCTCCTTCTCCTCCACCTCCTCCTCATCAGCACCCTCTCCCTCTCCCTACCCCTTCCCCGTCCTCATCCTTCCCCTGCTTCTTCTCCATGTGCTCCCCCTCTTCCCCCTGGTCGGGGCAAGCAAATCGATGTTCCTCGGCGCCGTCGCCGCCTCGGCCAGCGCGCGCGCGCGTTCGCCGATGGCTATTTCGCGAAGCCTTTGGGACAGCCCCGTGGGCTATGGTTTTGGACGGGCCGCTGGGGCGCGGGGGCAAGCCGTCGGGACAACCCCGCGGGCCAGACTGTTGGGACAACTCCGCGGGCCTCTAGTTGCGCGCCGCGACGCTCAGGCTGGAGGCAGCTCCGCGGCGAGCTGCTCGGCCTCATCCCCGGAGGTGCGCGTACTACACGTGTCCCA